TGTCTGACTTAATTGGATAATTTTCTTCATTGAGTTTGTTCCCAAGATAAAATGAGAGAAGACTTTTTAGGAGAGCAATTTGAGTTTCCTTGCATAGTCTATTAAAAAATACCCAATAAATATAGGAACAGCATGAAACTGTAAAGATTTCTCAGAATCAGAATAGCTTTAGGAAGTGTATCTTCTTGTTACGGTGGTGGATTAAGTAAAACACACACATATTCAAAGAATGTTTTTGAATCTAATGTTATCTTGTTTGAGATAAAGGTTTAGTCCTGCAAAGCAATGATTTTTGAACTTTTAGTGAAACAAAAGAGCTGGAGGAAGGCTTCTGAAGAAGTTAACCTCTGCGCTTGCAGCCCTTCAGTTCGGCATTGGCTGTGTGTGTTTGGGTAATTTTTTGTTTGATGTTGTATCAAGACAAAAATCTTTGGTCAAGATTGCGCAACCTGAGATTGATCAAGGGTTTCAATGGACACGCTTTCCTCTTGGGTTTTTTATTTCATCACCTATACAGTGGTTTATTTAATGCAGTGTAGTTACTGTGATTATTTATTAAGAAAAGACTAAGCTTTAAGTGCCTAGGGAAGGTGGGGGATAAGGAGGAATTACCTGCAAATCTTAACTATTAGGATTATGGGGCAGAGTTGTTGATGCAGAAATCAAGTAGAGTGAGAGATTCTCAGGAGGAAGCAAACGTAATTAAATTGCAGGATGTTTAGGAAATTACCTTGTCCAGTGTGAAGACACTGGGTGACTTTGGATTATGTTTTATTAAGCTTTTCAATATTAACTGCAGCAGGCTCACTTAGTGCATAGTGAAAATTGCTGCTGGAGGGGAATCCTTGGGCTCAGGGAGGAGCCTGGGGGTTTGGTCAGGAGAGTGGTTTGGTCCATTTGCATGTATTTACAGCTTGTTCCTGGGAGATCCTGAGCACTCGGCTTCTAGGGGACCGAGTGAGTATTGGTCAGCCCTCCTTGAGACCAGTTGTCTGTGATGTGTCAGGCCTTCTGTGGGGAAGACGTGTGCTGTAGGACTGTGCAGTGATCCTGAGGCAGACCAACAGGATCACAGGGTTAGGGGAGAGGAAGATAGCAGCAGCTAAGCAGCGAAGGAGGTGTGTAGTTTTACCTGGTTTTACTGAAGGGGCGTCCTGTAGCTGTGCTTCAGCTGTGCTTTTGGAATAACCCATGTTCTAGTGGTGCCTGGGACCAACACCATAGACAATAAAAAGAAACATTGATGACTAACCACTAGTTACTTTTTTTGCACTTGAATTTAAATGTACTGTACTCACGTAAATCCTCATGATTTGTCTAAGTGTCCTTTAAAATCAGAAATGTATTTATTGTATGTTTGTATAACTTGGAGGAGAGCTAAAGACTGAACAGGTGACAGAAGGATGCTGAAAATCATTTTGAGGCAAACCAACCATTTGTTGAGTTCATGCTGTACAGTGTTACCTCAGCTGCTACTGCATAGCACTGGGTTGTGGGGTGAAGAGCTTGTACACTGTGTTTACACTTCAGAATTGTGTGTTTGAAATGCCTGCTCTTTTTGGAATCGTATAGTCATTCTATGTTGCAAAATGGACATGTACACCTGGGTTTTTATATTTGTGAAACTGTAAAAACCATGGTAAGAAATATAAAATATCCATAATGTAGTCAATAGTATTGATCTGAACCTTCTTTACATTTGCTCATGTTATGGTGCCAGCACTGAACATAATCACCAGAATAGGGAAGAATTCACTGGTAATGACCTTTTTTCCTAGGCTCAGTGAACGGCAGTGCCCCGAGTGTGGTGAACCTAGAGCCTGGGACCTGCTCTTCCACAGTGTTAAAATGCATTTCATGATAAAAATCTGACTGTAGGCACAAATTCCCTTCTGTGGGGCGAGGGGAATGTAAGGGATGCACTGTGATGTGCTTCACGAACAGGTTGATATGAAGCATGCAGGACACAGAATCATAGAATCAAAGAAGTTGGAAACGACCTTTAAGATCATCAAGTACAATCTCCACATGGTGAGGGAAAGTCAGAATTGGATTGTTACCTGGTGGTTTTGAGACAGAGGCTGCTCTGAGCGCAGGTCATGTCAGCTTGTATGGAGATACTTCCAGTTTCTGATTGTTGTGGTTTAAACCCAGTCAGGTAATTCGTTCGCTCACTTCCCCCCCCCCTTTCTTGCCCTCCCCCTGCTCTCGGAGGGACGGAGAGGAGAATCGAAAAGAACGCAACTCCCACGGGTTGAGATAAGAACAGTTTAGTAACTAAGGTATAACACAAATCACTACTGCTACCACCAATGATAATAATGATAAAGGAAATAACAAGGGAAGAGAATACAACACCTCAGCACCAGCCGACCGATAACTCGCCCCCCCTCAGCCCGACCAAGCACCGACCGATATCTCCTCCAACCCCGCAGTCTCCCAGCCCTTCCGGCTAACTCCCAGTTACCTCCTAGACATGACGTGCTGTGGTATGGAATACCTCTTTGGTCAGTTTGGGTCAGGTGTCCTGTCTCTGCTTCCTCCTGGCTTCCCCTCCTCCCTGGCAGAGCATGAGGCTCACAAAGTCCTTGGCCAAACCAAAACATCATTGTTATCAGCTCTGTTCCCGAGCTGAAAGTCAAAACACTGCACTGCACCAGCTACCAAGAAGGGGAAAAATGACTGCTACTGCTGAACCCAGGACACTGATTAATGATACACATTTGCACCTACCCTAACAAGGGCACATTTGAGTGGAATTTATTCTTACCTTGGGTGTAGGATAGTTAAATTTTTTACTTTCAACTGCCCAACTTGCACGAGTACAAAAGTGCTGACAGGGAGAGATCTTCGCTTCCTCATTTGCACATGTAGAGTGTATATGTGCTGGACCATGTCACCTTATGAATTTGGCTTTGTTGGTGGTTTGGATGTGTCAGGATGGGAGAATGGGAATGGTGAGCCCCTTCAGGGAGATCGATCTGAGGTAGAGGGGACACTATTTTGGAGCAACCACGGCTAGTGCAACAAATCTGCAACAAGGGAGAAAACCTCAGGACATGAACACACCCAGTTTGCTTGGCTCCTCCTTGTCATATGTCATGCTGCTCTGAAGACAGTAAATGCGTCAGAGAGGAGAAGGATAAAGTTGACAAATACTTTAATTTAAAAAAACGTGAAAGTACAGACAGGGTATCAAGTGTGCTGTACCATGCATACCAAATAAATACAAAATTCTAACTTTTTTTTAAAACATCATGAAACAGAAGATACATGTGACTCATCCTTTCTTAAAGAAGAAAGGCTTTTATAACAGTTAAGGCAATAGATCAACATTGAGATTCTGTTCCCAGATTTTGTGGCTAAATGCTGGACAGTACTTAACAGTTGTGTTTCAGTAAACCTATGTAGTATCTCCATGTATCACAGGAGCACTGTGCAAGGAAACTCACTGTTGGCAAAGGGCTCAAATAACAGCACTTGGTTTTGTTGGGTTTTGTTTAGGAAGTGCTTCCAGTGTTGCAACAGCCTTGGGAACATTGTTAACATCAGTATCAAGCTATCCACTAAACTAGTCATCATCTTTCTCACGTTGCTGCACCTACCTTGGATGTACTTGGTTGTTTCCTGCTCTGCTTTGAATAGTATTTACGCATCCCTGGCCAATGATGGACCTCACAGCCACAGAGAACATGGGTTGGGGTTTGCTTGGTTGGTTTGAGGGTTTTTTGTTAGTGTTTTTTTTACTGTGTTGGTGTAGCTGGTATTGCCCTAAATAATTCAGTGAAAGGAACAGTGTGTGAAAAATGTAATTGCCTGTTTTGGGGGGCTTTCATGTTTAACATATTGCTTAGGTAACATATTGCTTCTGGGTTTGAGCCAGGGCAAATCTGATTCTTCCCCCTGGCCTCAGATCAAATGGATGGGAGTTCTTAGCTCACTACAAAGTACACTGAAATAAACCTGTGTACTTTACAACATGCAAAACCCACTAGGCATCTCTTCCAGTATCCTTTTTTGACTAATCTGTAATAATTTTAAGTACTTCATGGTGGCAACACAGGCAAAGGTAAAATACATCTTTAGTCTACAAAGATCATTGGGGGAAGTTTCCATTGCTCTCCCAAACCATCAAAGCTAATGAGGCTTTCCTCCATTTTCACAACAGCTAACAGTTCCAGCCTCCTGCTAGTGACAGAACCCCCAAAACCAAGTCTCACTTCCAGAGCGTGTTGGTATTAGCTGTGAATTTGGTTCTCAGAAGTGAATCTTACTGCTAGTGGCCTTGCTCATCAGGACTGTTTCGAATGTTGTGGACTTGACAGTGTGTTTTGGATTACCCGCTAGAGAGGGCTTCTCTCTGCTAAACATGCTATAAATTCTACATATGTATTTATAAATTTATGGCACAAAAGGCTGCTAAGTGTCTCTTCCTTTTAAAATGAAGCGAACTTGAATCATTATAAAGTAGGAAGAGACGTGAAACGCTTCCAAGCACCTACTCTCTCTCCTGTTTTAGACGGAGAAGCTCCTGGAATGTGGTACAGCAGCATCTCTCAGCACTGTTAGAGGTAACGGATTTTCTCCCTTGCCCAGCAGTGGACAGTGAGAAACCATGGTTGTGCATGCACCGCTGAAGTCATGCTGCATCATGAGGCATGTTACAAAGAAAAGAGGTCCCTTTTAAAGCAAATACATCCTGGTCGGACATGCTCTTCTGGAGAGCTGACTCCTTTCCCACCACTTAGCAACTCCTTTTGGGTTTGGAAGATCAGATGGTGACAGATCAATGGTCTTTTGTTTTCTGCAGTTTGGAAGACAGTAAAGTAAAACAGTAAGGTGAGGACAGAATACAGAGATAGTTTAAAGAACAAAAGAAGGAAATGACTTCTGCAGGTGGGTGAACTGAGGGGACATGACCTACTCCCTGGCCTGGGATTGTGTAATACGTAAGTTGAAAGGTACTTGACAGTCTGAATTTTTCTGCCTGTTCTTTACTTCTCCCCACATACCTCCTGTGTTAAGTACCAGACTGAAGGCTGAAGAAGGGGAGGTAGAAGCCCCGTATCCATCTCTCCTTGTTTTGCCAGGAATTACTTTCCATTTTTTACTGAATGAGTAAATAGCTGCATATTCCAAGGACAGTGGAGCTCTGTGTGGGTTATCTGTATTCCTGGTTACATGGTTACAACATCCAGATGTGCTGACAGCAGTTCCTTCGAGCAGCTGAAAACAGCCTCAGTCTTTGTTGTCTTTTCTGTGCCCCTGAGGGGTCTGGAATGGACGTCAGCACCCATCCAAGGTAAGACAACAGTAAAAATACATCTGGGGATGAAAACCCTCTCCTAAGTCACCTGCAGTTGTCAGATGGAGAAACGGAGTGAAGAAAGGTTCTGTAGAGGGACCTGCTGAAGATGGAGGAGTGTTATGTGAAGAAGCAAAGACATGGAAAGTACAATGTAAGTAGAGCAGAGACCATGAACAGAACAACACAAGTGGAAGGTGAAAAGTCAGGCAGGGTTCTGAAGAGTTAGGGGAGTTTAAAACAAATGTGAAGAGGCAAAATGAAGCTAATGTGCAGTAAGCCTAGCCAGAAGAGCAAACAAACCTTGTTCAGCTGTGTTAACTTTTTCTTCTTCTTTAGCACTGAAAAGCCTCACAAGCAATAAACACAGTTTATCAGCACATTATGAAAATTGTTGACACATAGGGTACTTAGTAGAGTATTAATAATGGCTTCTCCCTGTAGTGCTCAGCACAGAGGACTTGACAATGAAAAGGACCAAAACAGGTACCATTTTCTAGAGGTAGTAGCCTTGGCACAACAAGGCATCCTGCTGGGACAGGCTGCTGCCAGTACTCACTTTGGAAATAAGCAATGTTTACTTCCCCAGTTAAAGTACCAGTAGCATGAGAATCCTCTTCACTTGAACAGCCCCTATGATTTCCTTCTGTTGTTCTGATCATGCAACATCAGTGATACAGGAAACAGTGTTTTCAGAAAATCCCTGTGTCCACCAGCAACCACAAGAAATCACCAACCGTGAGTTCTCACTGTGTATCCTTCCTCTCTAAGGTGAATACATTTTCCATCCTGATATTTCCTAAAGCTCAGAGCAACTCGGTAGCATATGGAAATGAAATCTGTTTATGCATTTCATCTTCATCCGCCTCATCTCCTTCGTGGACAGAATTGGTTGGATTATCTTGCTCAGATTCTGTCCCTGTTTCAAAGAGCTGCTCTTCCAGGAAGAAGCTCCCAATGCCATATTCCTCCTCATGCGCCCTTGTTTCTGCAGGTGAGATGTGGGGAGATCCCAGAACAAAGTCTGCAAACCTGCCAGATTTTTAAAGGGAGAAGTGATCAACTGAGAAATATAAAAACCCTGTAAATGCAGGGGCTACTACCAATTAAGCAGGGATGTACGGACGTGCCCGCAGGCAGCGCTGACGAGGGGAAGTTGCAGCATGAGGTAGGGAGTCCTGAACAAGAGAGAGTAAATCACAACAGATGGCAACAACCCTGAAGATTTGTTTTCCCACCTCATTTTTTCAGCCTTTTCTATATAAGTAACTTTTGCTGTTCTAGAGGCCATCTGCAAGGTCTTGTGACTAAGCAAGAAGATCTAACTTCATTTTCACATCTTGTCAGTGCTCATGGTGTAATCCAGAGTAAGCATTTGTACAGTTGGATAGATGGCACTTCAGCTTCTAAAAATAAAGCTGTAGCATATCTGACGGAAAGGCTGTAAGAATTCAGGTGTTGACACTGCTAATGAAAGGAAAAATGGTGAGAACATCATATTCTTACACTGCTGCAATGTCACCTCACTTCTTGTGCTGCACGCACACTCTGGGCAAGCTGAGCTAAAGTCTAAACACCAAACTGGAGATTTGTGTTTAAGCTAAGCACTGTCCCTACATTTAAGATTGCCACAAATCTTACTTTCAGTGGACAACCACACTGGAGAGCTAGAATGGAGCTGGAGGTTTCTGGCAGGCATGTGGAAACAGACGGCAGTTCTGACACCTGGCAAGTGTCGACAGCATCAGAGAAATGTAAGAAAAAGGAAATGCAGCTACATTCTGGAGTTCTGGTAAACTGATCAATAATTTACGTTTTTGACTTAACATTTCTGTAACATGAATGCTGTCACCTCGCTTTTCTTGGAAGCACTGTTCGTCTAAATTGGGAACTGGCTGTTGGCCAGGCTGTTTTACAGGTTTGCCTTGTGTTGAACTATCTTCTGATGTTTAATGGAAGCCTGAAGGGGTACTCAACTTTAAATCAGGCTTCTGTTGGTTCTGCTTTTTCTTTTTGTATTTTTATAGGAACAGTTTTTGAGATGGCTAGCAAATACATGTGTCTCCATTGTTTGTTTTGTGCGTTTGGCACTGTTTTGTTTTACAATACTGCAGTGAGTTTTCACTTTTTGTATCTTTGAATCATGCTACAGAGTGCAACTAGCTTAGAAAATAAGATGGTTTAGATCTATAAAACCTGGCAGAGAGGCTGCCTGTGTGCCCATCCAAGGAAGATGAAGCTTCTGTAACTAGTTTGAAATTGTGACACTTGGTTTTGTAGCAAGGGCCAAGTGTTTATGGCTGGCTACTATGTGACACTCTGTTTCTGAAATCCCAAAGCCTTAGTCTGGACAGAAATACACTGCTATTATGATTAATTTTATATTCTGCAAGGTTTTCTGGCTGCGCTTATCTAATCCTTCCTATCCCGTATTTGTCTTAAGTTGGTCTCTTAAACTACATCTGGAGTAGTTCTACTTAGTACACTTCCTAGGTGCTGGCATTGATTTCTTTCTCTGTATTCTTAGTCCTAGCTATTGGTTGATACTTGAAGTAATAGGATTCTTCGGCTGTGCAGGCTTGCAGTTGGGAGAACTTAACATAGGTAATATTTGAACACGTATCTTTAGCCTGCCCCAGTTTTACACAATGCAAAAGCGTACTGCTTTGAAAACTGAAGAAAGGGGCATTTTGCTGGTTAGCCGGCCACCTGTGTCACTGTGTGGGAACTCAGAGAAGCATTAGTAGGCTTTCCTTTTGTGATTACTGTGAATTAACTCAGAGTAATTCATGGTCAGGGAGGAGAAAAGAGGGGGCTTAACACCACCACCAATATCCTTGAGAGGTCTGGCTGTGGGATCCCAGTAATCTTTGGTGGGATTACTCAGGAAGATAAAGCTACCCACATCTGACTACGTGCAAGATAAACACACCTGGAACAGCACCTGAAGTGGCATTTGGGTCTGCTCTGTAAGTGTCTGTACAAGGTGTTTCCTATTTTAGAGAAGCCAGATTTTATTACCTGTGTGGGGACTGGAGTTTGGATACAGCTAACCATGATGGGAAATCAGGGTTTCTGCAGAATAAGCGTAGCTCCTCCAGAGCTCTGATAGTTTCTGTTTCACCTTGTTCTCGGTACTCCTCTTCAGTAAGGTGTTTAAACACTAACTTTTTTGATATAAAGTGGTTCTTCATTTTTCTGGAAAGAAATGAAAATGATTAGTATTTCTAAGGTATTCTGGCATGTGATTGTTGTCTGTCATTTTTCTCTACTACCTGTTATTAACATGCAGTTCATCACTTTTATCCTTTTAAGAGGACAAGCTACATTTTTGCATTAAAATTTTAGGACAAGGTGTCTAATGTTTGCTAGCATGTTTACCTCAGGTCTTAACTGACAGTGCAGAATTGCACAGAATGGTATTTAATGAACTTCAGATAAGCTTTGGAAGAGGTCCTTATTGTGTACGCATGGACTAAAATCTCATAGAATTAGATAGATGGCTGCTTGCTCAGCCATTTATAGGTGCAATATGCAAAATGTGTCTGTGCAGAGGCGCGGGCTGAATCAAAATCCAGTCTGCATATGTAACTTTGAAGACGAGCAGTGCTCTGTTATGAGCTGTTCATGATGTTTGTTAGATCACTTCTCTTAAATCTTGCTTTAAATTACAAAGCTGAGTACTGTGAGGCCAAAATGTTTACAGTCTGATGTTTTTTTAGCTGCTGCGTAGCGCTGTATAATATAATTAGATATCAATTAGAAAGTGTGCCATGTTCTGTTCCCTTCTGTCGACTGCCTTCAATTTAAATGTTGTGATGAGTTAAGATAAGCAAGGGCTGGATGCCCATAAAACTTTCAGCTCTGTATAAAACACCTGCTCCAACCAGCAGCATTCAGCTTTCCTCCTTATTTCCCTGTAAAGCAAGAATGAACTGTAACTCTTCTTCAGATCAAATGGTAAAAGTCGTGTTGGCTTAGTGGGATCTACTGATCTTAACAACAGATAATGGGTGTATCAGCTGCTCTGAACTGTGATCACTGGAAACCATTATTTTTGTGGATATAGGCTTTTAGTCTCTGAACTCTTATCTAACCTACAAGGACTGTCACTTGTTAACATCTGCTTCCCTGGTGACAGTACGCTGTTTTATCCCATAAGATTCAGTAGTTACCTGCAGACTCTCTCCCTAAACATGAAACCAAGGCAGTATTGCTTCAGTCTGACCAAATAACCGCACAGAAATGTTTTGGTTATAATATGCAGCAGACTAGAAGGTGCTATGTTTGTACTTAAGAACAGTCACATTTCTTGATTATTCATAGAACAAAACTCATGCATAAACCTGCCAAATGGAAAATAATTAAATTCCTGTGTCTTGGGGCTTTGAACCTTTCCTACTGCAGCTTTACATTTGATAGCAATGTGAATTTGTTAGAAACTCATAAATCATTACTGAAGCATATGGGTTTTTTCATTATCAGCCTCTGCATTTCTTGGCAGTGCAGGGCCTTGGACATTCACAGATACATACGTACCTGCCTATGTGACACGCAGCACCCAGGGGGTAACACAGGCCCTTTGAACAGAGGCTGACTGCTATTACTGCATATGCAACTTGAGGTATGGTGACTCCACAGTAAATCAAGACAAAGGCTGTTAACTGCAGCGTCCATGCAAACAAGTATATGCTCAGATCAGTGGTAGGAGGTCCGTGCTGATAACAAGCAGCAAAGCTGGTCATTCCAACAGCCAGAAAATACCCTGTAGAAACAGAAGAGATGGATATTGGGAAAAAGATATAAATTACTCATATAAATGTCATTAGTTTGCTTCACAAAGCTTACAACTGCTGTGAAGTACAGCCTGCTGTTTCTTATATTGCCTTACAGGTACCTGCTTTCTGTTGTGTGGGCTTTTTATTTCAAAAGTGTGCAAGGAGGTGATCTATGAACAACCTTTAGCTAATGCTCTGAGATGCACATGAATTCTCCCCATGCTAGAATGTTGGGGCACATGTTAGATCAATACATTGGTCAGCCCTTGCAGCCACATCCAGTTCCCAAATCCCAGCAAAATCCGAGCCAGCACAGCCACCCTTTTCTGTTACAGGGAAAGTATGTAATGGCAGATCACTGGACAAATAATACAGGCAAAATCTGCTCTTAATGCTGCTACTGGCCACTATATCCAACTCCTATTTAATGAGTAAATGCTTATTTGAATGGATTAGGAACCTTTGGAATATTCCAACATCTACTGCTTAGGAGGAAAAAGTATGCTATAATAAGTCTCACTTGATTTTTTTTTTTGGGGCAGGTATTCATCTGACCACTAAATTAAACTAAAATCTGCAGCACATTTCTTGATGATTTTCTTACCCAACAAGTAGTTTCTGTGTTCAGACCACAACCACTGCATATTCTCTTTGAAGCAGTAAATAAAATACAGAGAGGACATCCAGCAGCCACTCATTAAGATCCAGAAGGTGCTGTGCTGGAAATTAAAAATAAACAAACCACAATTAAAAGAATATTAAAAAAAAAAACTTTAAAAATATATTTTTAAAAATAAAACCTTTAAAATAATTTCAAATCAAACCCACAACTATTTTGTGCAAGGGAACTTGCAGGCAAAACCAGATGACTTACTACACTTCTATGGTACAGTGCTCTGGTGTCATGGTATAAGCCTGTTGCAGTGTATTCCCAGTTGACATCCTAATATTGTGGGAATGCATGGGCTTTGCAGAAGGAAAAATTCACATCCCCCTTTCAGTGAATTCTCTCTGTTGAATGGAAGAGAATCTGTCCCTGTTGCCACTAACACCACATTTTGATTTAGACTGATTCAGAGATTTAAAGTAAACTTAGTTCCACTATAGTAAAAATAATTTATGTTTCAGAATAAATTATTCTTGTACATCAACAACCTCCTGTTCTGTTTAAACTCAGGAGCAAGCTAACTAGAACTTGATTCTGACCTAATTGTATTTACTTGACACAAGCAATCCTGTCGTCATTAAAACAGAGGCATAAGGACAGAGCATGGTCAGAATCTGGCTCTGTACTCTTCATTTCTATATGATGATGCTTATTACTGTTTTAGAAATGTAGATTTACCCTTGGAATAAACCTTTTAAGTATCAACAGGACAAAGACTAGCAGAGCAAGAACACCCAGTATTATTCCACAGAGGTAAAAGAACTTGGTACTCCTGTAAAAGAGCAAGAAAGAATACAGTGAGAAGTGTAATTTGTAATTGGTTACGATGACAGTGTTTCTAAAAACAGCAGCAGTGATCTTCAGTAAGAACTTAGCACAGCTGTAAGTTAAGAGTTGTAGTTACATGGTTGATAGGCCCAGTTCACATACTAAATTGAGGTAAGGAAAAAGTCCCAACAGAGACTTAAGGTCACTGGAGGTGTTCCAGGCTAGCAGATTGTGGTTTGTTTTCTTTAATGCTCACACTACTCCTGACTGCCTTGACCCTCTAATTTCCAGTAAACTCATTTTCTTCTGTGTACCAGTATGGCTCTGTACTGCAAGAAAAGTGGGTGTTTTGTTGCTGTTTTGGTTGGTTAGTTTTGTTTTTAATTTAAAATGTAAAAAAATCTCCACAAACCCACAAGTCATTTTTTCCCTAAACTTATTAATTTATAAAATCTGACTTTTTAATTCAGTTAACTCTATAAAACCTACTGCTGCTCTGCTTGTTTCAGAGGTGCCTCCTAACAATTAACGTGTGACTCATTTTGCTTTGAAGTCCTGGGCCGCTATTTTGCTATAATAATTAACTATCCTCCCTTACATGCTGTCCAAAATGCGCATTGAAAGAACAATGGGGAAAGGTTGGCACAGAGGTGGAGGCATACAAGGCCCCAGAGTGATCTCATCCTAAACATTTCTTTCTGCAAGAAAGCATCATTGATAATACATGCAGCAGCATTTAGCATCCGCTGAACCTCACTGGTCTACAACAGGGAGAGAGATTTTGTATGAATTCCCACAATTGCTCACTGAGGATTGACATGGTATTGCCCAGTGAAGGAGGCTTGGATAGAAGAACTCTAACACAGCTAAGTGATTAACAGAGTGCAGTACTCCAAATAGAAATGGTATGGAGGAGTTGTAAATATATGTTGTTTCCTTATTTCACTTTCCCAAAGAACCGCCTCTTTAGCTTAGAAAACAGACCGAAGATGCACAGGCTTTGGGAAAGAAGGTCAAACCCCAGCAGCTAGTACTCACCGGCTCAGGCTGGTTGCAAAATGGAACAGAAAAATTCCAGCAATAAACAAAAACAAGAGCTTTCCATCTAGCACTAAAAAAAAAAAGGTGGAAAAAAATAGAAAAGGACTTTAGACTAATTCAGTTTGAAATGCTGATTATAAAATATCAACAGAAAAGTTCCAAGCTTCTTACAGAAGAGATGGTACATTCAGAAACAGTGGTAATACCAAGTTATCTGTAATGCAAATGGAAAGGTTTTTTACTTACTTTCTCGTTTCACACTGACAATGTACGGTTCGGTTTTCAGGGGCTGTATTTTGAAGCAAATATCCTCTCCATATTGTTTTACGCTTACTCTGGTTTCTGTAGCTGTCTCTGGTTTCCAGAAGACTTGAACAGCACATGCAGCAAACTCAAAAACAGTTTCTGAATTACGACAGTTGCTGTTCTGTGAAATGGGCTCAAACCTGAACAGTTCTCTGCTGTTAACTTTTACCTACAAACAAACCACAGAATACAGAGAAGTAGCTCAGAAGCACGGGGGGGGGGTGGGGGTGGGGGGGTGTTCTTCTGAACTATACAGCATATAATGAAAATCTGTACAGAGAGTTTGAGTTCAAGTCTTAGTTGTTTCATATTGGTTATTAATATTATGTAAAGATCCACTGTTTAGGCCTTAGAAGGTGATTCGGAGAACTCAATGTCAGCAAAGTTCAATGGAGGGACCTCAATCCCTCCGAAAACTTGGTGGGTTTGGATTTACCATGACACTTGCCCACACACACATTTCTAACAAAACCAGTAATCTTTGACTGACAACAGTTACTTCTGTGGATGTGCATAGACTTCCCTGTTCCCCGCCTGAACCGTAAGAATTTGGACTTGCTTTTCTTGTAATTAATAATGCAATTTTCATGTTAGGGACAGAAGAGGAATAAGGAAAATGAAAGCTATAACCAGAAATTTAAATATAAACACGTTCCTGTTGGGTATTTCAGGATTTGTCCCTAGCACACCTCCCCCCATGAAACTGGTAAAAGATCTTGTCCATCTTCTGAAATGGAGTGATCTGCTTGAAGATTGTGATTCATTGTGAGCTCTCGATCAGAGCCAATTAGACAACAAAGACCCATCTATAAAGAGTGATGCAACAGGTAATAAACCAGGCATCTACTGAGAGAAGAGACAACACATCAACAGCCTATTTGTTGTGGGAAAGATCTGAACTTCCTGCTTTTAAACACCTCCTTCACAAAAGTGTGTGTGACTGCCAGAGGATTTTACCACCTGAAGTTTGCTGCCATTCATAAAAACATCTGCACCATGTTCCTGAGGAAAGCAGTCCTGGGAACAACAGACAAAGAGACACTTCACTTCCTTATATCTGAGAGCAAATTCTTCCAACAGAGATGAAGTGAAACAGTTTCCTTCCTTTGTCCAGAGACAGGCTTCCCAGGAAAAAAAAAGAACCATACAGATAGTCAGCTTGTTCCTTTAGCTGTTACCTCTTCCACTGTTAGGAGGTTTTTATATTGTTTTGTGTGCATCTCTGAACATGTTTGTTATAAGATGTCCCTTTGTTACTCAGGAACAGAGACATGCACAGCTACTGCTGTCTTTTCGTTAGTCACAATCTAATACACCTTTGGTTTCTACACTGGGGCCTGCTATGCTACAGTGAGTGACTCAGAACCGCATTTTATCCTCAAATTTAAAAGCTTTATGAAGGCGTTTGGTGATAAGCAAAAACATTTGTTGCAGAGGTTGAGCGGTCCATCAGTAGAAAAGGTGTGCAACAAAGTAACACACAACTCTACATTTATGTTTGTGTGGCATCATACTATAAGCCTGGTTATCATCTTTCTAATAAATAGAAGCCAAACCTCGCTGCATCCGAAAAGGATGATTGCAGTGCTGCATTTTTATCATGGTCCTACCTATACTCTGTTCAAACTACCAATTGCAGAGAGATACTGCTTTGATCGTAAACTTTGCTCACAATGTTTATGTGAAAAATATTGCATATCAGAATAATCACCGAAACAGCCTCTTACCTGAAGAGTTGACCAAACATACTGTAAGTGAATGGTTCTGTTCTGCACATAGCAGTAGCAGCTTTCATCCCGTTTCTGGATGACGTCCATTTCCTGCAAGAAACTACAGTTTCTACCTGGGGGGGGGGGAAGGACAGAAAAGTTAATTTTAAGCATGTATCAAATACAAATGAATAATTTTCCTCCATTTCATTATTGCACATGCTGAGGGAATCATAAGCATTTGCAGATAATCAGAAGTAAAAGCTGTGCTGCAGGGTAGTATGTTGGGCATGATCTAGATGAAAATTCAAATTAGACTTCTCATCAAGTCATTTGGGCTCCAGAGGAAACTGCAACACCTTTGTAAAAGGTGGTATTTTTTAAACAAATGTAGTCCATGGCAGTCTGGCTTTGGTATCAGTGTTTTTGTGGCACTGGAATGGTGCCTCTGAGCCAAACTCGCTGCTGGCCCGAGTGGGTGTAACTCCACTGGAGTCGGTGCTTACACCAATGGTGAATACCACTGTGGGAGTCTGAGCAGGTAAACAGTTTACGTATTAAATAGTCATTTAGCACATGACACGGCTGCTGATCGCAGAAAGCAGACTCCTCTCCCTCAGAAATGTTCCTCACGTTAAATAACACAACTCTTCTCTGTAAAGCAAGTCTTCCTGACATAGTCCAGCCATGACATGCTGTGAGGTAACTGCACTGATAGCTTGTGTTAAAGGTTAAGTCACTTTATTAGGGATGCTAATTGCTGTAACACCCCTGCAATGTTAGTGAACACCCTGCAGTCCTCAAAATCAGATTGCACTGTTGAGCAGAAATGCACCTGAAAGATTTATCGAGCAAACTCTGAAGAGTAACATATGTTCCAATCTATAGACGTGTGTAAACTATACCCTACAGTGCATTGCTGCAGTGTTCCAGGAGCATAATTAAAGACAAAATAAAGAAAATAATTACAGATCTGAACAGAGGGAATCATCTGGCTCACCAAGCAGAAAATGTAGGTCTAAGCCAAGCTCAGTAATAACTGCTAAAGCACTAAAGTGCTTACTAAAGTGTCCACAGATGATCCTGCTGAAGTAAACTGGTTTGAAATTTGGGTAATTTTATCGGGAAAGATTAACCCTGTGGTTAATTTCCACCCACGGCAAACCCAGCGGGAAGGGCTGAGCCAGGCGAGGACTGGATGTACCTCTTGACAGGCGCTTCCGTAAGAGTCATCAGATGAAGTGCAAAGGGTTCCATTCTTCCCTGCAGTGTTGCTGACTGACACAGCACGCAGGCGAGGCTGGGCACTACCCAGGGCTGAGACCAAGATAACCCAGTGATGGGAAATCCAATAGCCCTGCAGGGCCAGAATGCAGCCCGGAGTGCCCACACCTTCCCTGTAGGGTGCGTTGGGATCAACTAAGTAATGTCCTCCATATACATCGCTAGCAAGTATTTTTTTACTCTCCCTTCATTTTAAGATGCCCTCTTGAGGAAAACAATTTCCTTCAAACACACCAGCTCCACGGAGTGAAATAACCGCATTCCAAAAGGAAAGATGCTTCTGAACAGGTAACCATGAGTTGGAGGAGAATTTTAACTACTATGAGGACACACAGAGAAGGCAGCTCTCGAGTTTTGAGATGATGAGCACTGGAAAGAATCAGCATCTGCTGCAGAACCCGGAGGGAACATCTCTCCAGTTACGTTTCACTGCTACAGCTGAGAGTAACCTGCAAGGCTTTAGCTGCCCTCATCAATAAAAGCCCTGTTCCGCACTCCAGTGTCCTGAGCCAAGCTAACGAGCAAGCCATCAGGGGTAACGCAGACAACCAGTGCCAGCGGCGCCAGCCCCTGCCACAGCCGCATGCGAGGCAGTTGTCCTGCGAGTATCTGCGGTCGCTTTGTTACCGTGTCCACGGGCCAGCCCCAGCGCCCGTGTCTCCCTGTCCCGCAGGTTAACGCGCACAGTGCTCTTGTGTAGACCGAGCTGACACGGCACAAGCAGAACACACCAAAACGCCTCCGGGCGGCGCCTGGCCCCGGACACAACCTCGGGCAGGACGCCGGCCGCGGCCTTCTCGCAGGGCAGCGCCATTTTGGGCGGCAGCAGGTCGCGCTGTACCGGCGGCCATGGAAACCAAGGGAAGCCAGGGGAGAACAAAGTGTCCCGACGGGACGGGGGGTGAGGAACCCTCGCAGCCTACGACCACCCGCCCAGGGAAACAGGACCCCCCCCGCACCACACCGCGGCACCGCCCGCCCCGCGCAGTCCCCTCGGGGCGAGAGGGGCAGGCCCGTACCTGCTGCCGGCGCCTCCCCGGTGCCCCCGGGCAGCGCCAGGAAGAGAGGCAGGAGCTGCCCGAGCAGCCCCGGCCGGGCCCGGGGGCGCCGCCCCGCCGGGCTCATGTGGCGGCCGCCGGCTATCGCCTCGGCCCTGCCGGTCGAGGCGAGGGCGGGCCCCGGCACGGAGAAGGGCGGTGCGGCCCTGCGCTGCCTGCCTGCCCCCGCGGGGCGGCTCGGGGTGACCGGGCCCCGGCACGGGCTGAGCGCGGTTCGGTCTAATCCTGCTGTGAGGAGCGGCTTGGCAGGAGGCAGAGACAGGCCCTCGGCGGCGGGAGGCACGGCTTCTGGCGGGTCTTATCCTGCCGCGTGTCTCTGGGTTGTGCTTTAGAGCTTTGCGGGGTTCAAAGGGTGCGTCTGGGGGGACTAAAAACACATGGACATAACAGTGAGGGAAAAGCGTTTCCCTCGAAGGTTGAGGCGGTTCAGCCGGAGAAGAGAAGCTGTATGGAGACCTCATAGCAGCCTTCCAGTATCTGAAGGGGGGCTGTAGGGATGTTGGGAAGGGACTCTTCATTAGAGTCTGCAGTGATAGGACAAGGGGTAACAGGTTAAAACAGAGGAGACTGAGATGAGCTCTCAGGCAGAAGCTCTTCCCTGTGAGGGTGCTGAGGTGCTGGCACAGGGTGCCTAGAGAAGCTATGGCTGCCCCATCCCTGGCAGTGCTCAAGGCCAGGTTGGATAGGGCTTGGAGCAACCTGCTCTAGTGGAAGGTGTCCCTGCCCATGGCATGGGGTTGGAACTGGGTGAGCTTTAAGCTCCCTTCCAGCCCAAACCATTCTATGATTGTGGTCCCGTGTTTGACTGGCAGACCCAAAGTGTTGACTGCCCTTAGCAGTCAGGGTATGCACTGGTCCAAAACCAAAAGCTCACGTGAACCACTTGCAACCCTTGCACACATATAGGAATTCCCTGAATGAGATGTTATTAGGTGCTGTGATGAGGTGGACATCCACCACTTTCCTGTGTTTCCTAGGCAGCCACAGGAAGAGCCTGGAACAGGACACTTCGTTCCCACCACTGCTGAGAGTAGATGAGCTAGGTCCAGCACTGTTCAGTCCCTGCTTACTCACTGCACTCATTTTAGGTGGCATGTGAGTCACAGTCAGCACTCAGGGGTGGAAAGGGCTGGTGCTTTCTTCCTGTTCCATGAAAATCAGTAAACACAATTTTGCCAAGGCATTCTGGCATCACCATATATTTTTATCCTGAGCCCAACATTTGACCTTCCCAACCTACTTGCTTTGCTAGTGTCTTCCCTTCCTTGTTCTCAACACACTTCCTCTATGTGAAGGTTGCTTTTGGGTTTATTTTTCATTGTTTAGGGCCGGATCCAACTCCCAGGGGTGCCAGAATGGGTTTTTTTAACACCTGGAGGGGCTGCCCACTGCCTTGCACCATGTCTTGGCGCTCGCCTCTGCAGGGAGTGGGTGCTGAGGGGCTGCACTCTCCTTGCCTCACCTCCTACACCCTCTCTGCGCTGGCTGGGCTCGCATCTAACTGTGGATTATTCCTTGCAAGTACTGAGGAAGTGGAGGATAAGGGCAAAAATAGTTGGGATTTGATAGCGTGTGCAACATCTGACAAACTGCAGTCGCCAAAGGAAGCAGTGATTGATTTATATCTTTATTTGTCTTTATGTAATTTGGGTGTTGCCTTTATATAACTTTTCGGGTGCTTGCTCTAGCAAAGGCAGTGAAGAAAGAAATGCTGGATTTTGTGCTTACCTGCTTCCCTTAGAAATGTTATCTCTCAGTTGCATGTCTAAACAGCGAGGGACAATCATAGCCAAGTTATTAGCAGAATCCCCTTCACATTTGCAATAGTTTTTCAGTTACATTCACCTTCTTGACAGCATTTTCTCTGAGAAAGGAGACAATCCACATTCAGTTCTCGCTTGTATTTTCATTCCTAGAGCTCTTTGCACTTCACCACTAATTAACTTTCAATAACTGTCGTAGGGTTACAGGCACTCAGCATGAATCAGATGGAAAATGTAGCTTTAGGGGACCGCACTCTGTCACAAACGATTAGGAACCTTTGCTTGATTTCCAAGGAGAACACACTCACTTGCTCAAGCAGGATACAGCAGCTATTAGGCAGCGTTCTACCCCAGCAAGAAATGCTTCATAAAAGAGACTCAGTGCTCTTGCTACAGCCCTCCTGTCAGGGTGGTTCTGAGTAATTATGTGACATTTTCCTTGCTTGTTTGTTTGTCTTCCTAAATGGTGGAATTGCTAAGGGCAGAGCTTGGGTTCTGGTCTTAAAGGTGGTATTTTTAACTGTTCGCTCACAAATATAGTTTGAGATGGGGAGGTTGCTTACAGGTGCAGCTCTGCCCTTCTCAGGTCTTGTAAGATGGGATTGCTGAGTGAGACTAGCTTTTGGCTGGGAGAGCTCGAGGGACAAGAATAGCTGTGGCAGGCAGCAGTGCTGGTACTATTGGGAATGGGTGACATTCCTGGGAAGCAGCATGCAGGCCTCTTAAGTTCCATGCTTTTGACAAGTTGCGACTTCAGTAATTGGGAAGGAGGCAGGTGAGCAGTGCAGAGCCATGTCCCCAGTGTGTGCTTTCCTCAGGCTTTTGGAGCTCTGGATTTTGCCACCTGTTGTATTTCTGTCCTGTAAAGCACTCCTTAATATACCTGCAATGCCTTTGTGTAGCTGCCTAAAAGCTGCCTGCAACCCTAGATGTAATACCAAATCCTCTTTCTACTGCTGAATCCTTTTTCTTCCACGGAGAATCCAGCCACTCCCTGATGATGATTTATTTGGCCTATGCAGCCATAAATATGGGCTACAGCTGTGCAGGGCACCGATGGGGATGTCCTCTGTGCTTCTCAAAGCCTTACCTACCTTAGGCCCTACTGCTGTTGGAGACAGACCCTGTTTCCTGCAGCATCTTCAAGTCCAAGCTGGGGACAAGGCACTGGGGGTTCCAGTTCCCACTCTGCAAGGTGATGCTCATTACCCAGTTGAAGCCTGCTGTTTACTTTCTAGCTAGAGCTAATAGAGGCTTTTCATTTCCAGGTGTGCTTTTAAAAACCTCAACACATATTCCAGATGACTAAGGATGCTGCCTCTGATATTATTCCTTCCCCCGCCTTTGCTCTCCCTTCCGCCTCCTTACATCAGCAATGGGTATAATTTGTTTGCACAGTTGCAGGGTGCTTTATCTTTCTTTGGCCAGCCCTGAGTGGATGGGGGTTTGTTGAAGCCATAACATTCCTGCTTTCTTAGAGCTGGCGTGTGGGTGTTGGATTGTGTCATTCGTAGGAGGGGAACGTCAAAGGAAGTGGGATCAACTGCTGGAGGAGGTTTGTAAGCCAGGTACTTAATATTTGGTTTCCTGGAAAAGCAAGAGAAATGCAGCAAAACAGGCAGCCTTTGTGTCTATTTTCCCCATGTAATCAGAACAACACAATTCCAAAACATGCTTGAACACAGTTTGGTTTGGGGTTTTTTGTTGTTTGGGGTTAGTTTTCTTTTTTCCTTGGTTATTGAGGATGGAGAGCTACTGTATTTCTCTTGAAATTGTTCTACATGTTTTGGTGGATTCTGTTGAATGTTTATTCCAGTAACACAAATAATTAATGTTCCATAAGTGCCTTTGCAAATAATGCAATTTATTATCAGGTTCATTATGTTGTCTCTTTATTTGATGTAAAATGGTCTCTTAGAGTTAAAATTAGACAGAAGAGCCATTTGAGACTATTTTGTTCATCTCCAACTGTTTTTTCAGGAGTGCATTAGTCTGAAGTATTTCGCTGGCAAAATACTGAGTTATTGGGGGGGGGGGGGGGAGAGAGAGAAATGGTCTACCAAAGAAAAGTACAGCTACTTATTTTTGATGTAGTTTCATGGTAATCAGTTTTATTTGACATGTGTAGATACTGCGGTAGATACTGCTCTACCAGGAGTATTTACTTCTCCTAAACTGTTCCAGGCAGTAGATACCTCACAGCCCTCGTTCAGGATAACCTTAAAAAATAATAAGAAGAGTTATTTTTTTTAAAGGTTACCTATCTTATCTTATTGATTAGGCAAAAGAACCATATTTTTTCATTATGCTGCTTTTTCTGAAGCCTTTGCATATTTATCTAAGTGAAAGATACTTGTTCTAGCTGCTTTTGAAAATCTCAGTTCCATCACACACATTTCCGTGTTGTTTTGTTGGGGGTCAGGCATGTCTGACGACGGCTCAATCTGAGTGTTTTAGATAAACCCCTCTGAATAAAGCAGCTTTTTCCTTCTTGTGTGGCTTCTGAGTCACACAGCTTTCTTGGCACTTAACCCTGTGCTCGCTTTCCCATTGCTATCAAAGGGGCCTGTAGGTCAGGATTAAGGAAAGCTCTGCTGATGGTAAAGTGTTCATAGGAGGATGTGTCTGCAGTTGCTGGAAACACAATCCCTCCCTCCAACTTCAGCAGAGGATTCTGGTGTAAATTCATTGATCTCACTGATATTATTCCTGATTTACACAACAGTAAGCAGTAGGTAAGCATGACAAGAAGTTAAATAGCTCTGGGCCTTAAATATTTATCTGGTTTATTTTTAGCATGTCAATTGCAGCTATTTATATAGCAAGGAAGCAGAGATACAAATCTGTCTGGATTCCTTCTTTGCTTGGAATCTGCAATAGGCAGGGGGGGTGTTGTTTTTTAAAATTTTTATTTGTTATGTTAAATTTGCTCTGATAATATGTTACAGACATCATTTTTCAAGGCCCACTTAACCCCCACTTTTAAGCATAATTGAACTTATTATTTATCTAAAAGAGCATTGGTGCAGCCCTGGAGCAGCTGTGAGATTACCCTGTGCAGGCACTAGTACCTTACATGGATTTATCTGTGGGGAAAGGTCCCAACATTGTGGGAAGGACATTTCCTCTAAAAGAAGTGTGAAGGGTAAGCTAGGCTGGTGGATGGAGATGCTAGAAAATAGCACGTGATTGTGCATGCTGGCTCTGAAATAAGCACCTTTGGCTCTTAAGCCACTAGTTTATACATAGCTTTGCTTAGTATTTAACAAAATCTGTTGTTTTCTTTTGAGGCCCTTGGTTTCATGTTTCACCACCATGTTTCAGTGGTGGTGGTGTTGGCAGTGCTGGGGGAATGGTTGG